AAGGAAGGAAGGAAGGAAGGAAGGAAGGAAGGAAGGAAGAATGAGAGAAAGAAAGTACATACACTATTATCACACAGCCACTATGGTAAAGAGCTAGGTGTGGCTAGTGAGCAGTTTTCAGATGCCCCATTTGTGTTTTGTTTAGTTTTATGCTTTGCAGGAGGGATGGCTACCTCCCCACTTGATAGGTTTTTCTTCTATGCTGAAATATTCAGGTAGTTGTTTCTTCTGGATGTTTGAGTGGAGAGTACCTGCGTTATATGATCCTGACTGGCACATGGTAAATGCATCTCTTTTTGTCCTCCCAAGGGAAGCCATCAGCCGTGTTTGCGAAGCAGTACCTGGTGCCAGAGGAGCCCTCAAGAAGAGAAAGGTATAGCCCCTAGTGCTGCGGGTCTGGGTCTTCTTTGCTTTCTCTCTCTTATCACTGCTTTTCCACCACACAAGTGTTCCCTGCCCTCTTTCCAGGGCCTGATCTCCCTCCTGTCTAAGAGCAAAGAGGCTGAGATCACACTCTTCCAAGTGGCCAAGGAGAGTGAGCTGTCACTGATGACCAACAGCAGATACCCTGGTCACCCGCTGTGGCTTAAAGACACTGATAACAGCAAGCACTCAGCCAGGCTGTCCTTTAAGTACTTACATTAACTCACTTAATCATAACAACTCATTGGGTGTAGATCCAGCAATGTGCTGACAAATGTATATCAACCAGCTTTCGGTCTAGGGAACTTGTAGCATTTGCCAGTTTCTGTGGTGTAAATATTTCCACATGGGTGGTGGAGTGCAGTCTTCCAACATGATGTCCCTGGAACCTCAGTCAGTGAGAGACTTATAGTAGTTCATCATCGGACAGTTTTCCCACCACACAGGCTTAGCAGATACTCAAAAAACATAGTTAGTAGTTAATGTAGCAAACACCATTATAATTAGAGGAGTGTTGAGTATTATATCTTAAAAAACAATCTAATTAAAAATATAATCTAATTAGGAGTTTGTATAAATTAATTTTTAGTAACAGCTGTGTTTAATGGCCAGCTCATATAGTTCCTAAAACTTCAGTAGTTGGCTCTCATTAGCTGGTACAAACAAGCTCTCCACACTACTAGAGCTCCTGGTGTTACAGATGATGAAGACTGAGGTACAGAGATGAGAAGCCACAGTTTGAGTAGGAGAGGAGCTGAGGTCAAGCTCCACCACCTGTCCCAAAATCTGAGTCAAATTTTTCATCTTGAATATGGTTGTACTCAAAGTAAGTTTGAATTAAGAGAAGTCAAGGAAAACTATTTTTAGTTAAGTGTTTAATAAATACATAATTTCAATACACACAATCATGGCTTTCTTATGCCAAGATGGAACTGTGGGGAAAACATACCTTGATGAACACTGAAACTACCCTAAGGACAGTCCTGTTGGATTCCAGACCACTTGGACACTTGCTGCCTTGGCTGTGTTATTCCTAGGGCTCCAGGTCACATCTATTTTCAGAGCTGGGGGACATTCATGAATGCACAGGACAAATGAGTGTCAGGCAGAAAACAGTGGATGACAGCTCAGGTATCCCTAGCCTGCATTCTGGCCACTCTCCTGGAGCTACTGAGGACCAAGCAGAGCTCTAGAATCTTGAATGCAGGAACTAGGCAGGCATCAGGAACATCATCTCTGACAGTTAAGTGGTACTAACAAGTCTTGGGGTACTTTCATGGTCCTCATGGTAGGAGAGGTGGAAACAGTGCCAATTGCTGGGCTTCTCTTCGGGTATACTTGACCTGAATCTCAGTACATCTCTAATTTTGAAGAACTCTTTCAGCAGTGTTAACTAAAAATACAATTGGCACAGAGAAAAAGGAAATAGCTTTTATCTGGGAAGTAAAGTGTTCCAATTCCAGTACACTGAATCAGGGCAGCCTGAATGATCCCCTAAGGCAAATGTAGGCAAGAGTTTTTCATAGGTGATTTCCATAAAAAGTTATTTTTGAGCGAGTTTATTGGCTGGGCAGAAGCCCTAAATGGCAAACCTATTCTGACTGGTTAGTTAGTTAGTTAGGGTCCTCCTGATGGAGAGACACAAGAAATCGGTGGAGCAACTTTGATGTTGGTGGTTTCTCTGAGTCTTCTGCAACCTTCTGTGGCCTGACCTTCAGCAGGTGAAGTGCAACCCTCAGTGTCCCGGCTTAGCTTTAGAAAGCTTTGGTCTTAGTGACTTCATTTTCTTTCACAGGAGTTTGAAAAAGTGTAGTCTGGTTAGGAACTTATTGGCATTTCAGAAGAGGATGTTTTAATCCAAATTGAAAGGATGGGTTGGTCCTAAAGGACAGAGAGATGAAGGCCGGCAGTGCTCACCCAGGGACCTGTGGAGAAGACACAAGGCTAGAAAATGCAGTCCTTTAATTTCCGGGATGAAGGACCTTTCGGACACATGATGGGGGCACCAGTTACAGCCAGCCTGGGTCTGTCATCCTGTGCTGACTCCCGGCCATTGATTCTAACTGGATGGCGTCTGTGGGCCTTGACCAGAAAGCTGTTTGTGCAAAGATTTATGACCCCTCCCTCTCAGCCGTGAGCATGGTCACAACCCTCTGAGATTGCCAGTCTCCCTCAGTCTTCCCTGAGAGGTAGTCTGCCCTTGGTTTGCTGAAGCCAGTTTCTGAGTGTGCAAAACTGTGCTCTCCCTGGTCTGTGGCATTTTCCCTGGATTTATACCTAAGGGCATGAGATGTCTCTGTATAGGCGGAGGTGGCCAGGAAGATGACATCTCTGCTGTCCAGAGCCCTCATTTTGGCATTTACGTATTAGATCTTTCACAGTTTATATGGTTCCTACTCTAGAATGTGTATCTGAGCATTGGCTCTGCCTTCCCAGCACACTCACTTCACTTTTGTCTTCCTGTGCCCAGGTGGGGGAGGGGTAGTCAGGGCAGTTTGAAAGTGTAGCCCACATCCACAGCTCAACCTGTTTAGATGAAAACAAGACATTTTATTTTCTGGAGGCCCTGTCCCTGAGGTCTCCTTAAGCAAAAAAAAAAAAAAAAGCTAAAATAATGCCGTTGATTTCACAGCCTCCAAGCAAAATGCTGTCCAGCATCCTGGGAAAGAGCAATCTCCAGTTTGCAGGGATGAGCATCTCTCTGACTATCTCCACCGCCAGCTTGAACCTGCGAACACCTGACTCCAAACAGGTGTGTGCTCGCTCAGGCCTCCTGAGAGCTTCATTGGACCCACGGAGCATGTGTTTTGCCAAACCTTGACTATTCTATGAACTTTAGCTATTTTGAAGGATTACCAACAAAATGATGGATGAGATTGTTTGCCTTTAATTCAGCTATAAATGACCTTTTTGAGGAGGATAATGCATGAAGTTGTTGGCTTGCTTACAATGTAAGAAAAGGTGACGTATGTGCAAATGTCTTCTCTTGATGTCCTTGCCCTTTTATAACCACATTTATTGGTTTTATAGACCACATTTTTATCACCTTTAAAAATGGATGGGATGGCATGGTCTCACAACAATAGCATTTCTTCCTTGGAGGTTGATCATGTTGTATCTTACAGTATATAGTGTTGTAGGTTTCATGTGATGTGGTCTATCTATGGCCTGACAGGCTGGAATGAATTCTGAGTGGAGCAAGGCAGCACAACCATGTTTATTAGAGTTAATTCCATTTAGGAGGATTGTATTTCCATGCAGAGTCTATCTTCTGGGTTCCTCTGATCTAGCTATCGTTGGTTTCTTCAGCTAGAAAAATGAGTGTGTAGGTAACTGTCCTGTCTACCAGCAGGATGGTTCTGAAGGTTAAAGGAGACAAAGGAAGTGAAAATGCTGTGCAATATAAAGAGGGGTGTGGGGTGCGGACAACTTCCAGCCCTTCCCAGACCCAACCTCAAGTGCTGGCGGTGAGAACTGCAAAAGGTGCAAATTATGTGACATCTGCGTGACACACTCCCTGATTCTGACTGTGTAACCAGGGATGCCCACGGTTACCTTTGTGTTGCTATACGCATTTCTATTTATGAATGTCCATAGCCCCTGATAAGCAAGCAGCATCCCAAGCTTCAGTTATTCCTCTCCCTCCCACCAAAGATGTAGAAATAAATTCTAGATCCAGTGTAGAAATGTGAAGCAACACCCAAGCTTTAGACATAACTGGCTACCACTTCCTGCTCTGTTCTTCTGTCCTGGGAATCCCCAGCCAATCCCTTGTTTGTCACATTAACTCTCCAAATGACTGATTTAATGAATCCTTGAAGCTTTATAAGAAGGCTGGGCAGTTCAGCCCTTCTCCAAGCCATCCCCACTATGTACCAAGGATGGGTCCCTCCCCGCTACACTGCACTCACCCATCTAATCACCTGCCACATGGCACATGGGCCATGGAGCCCTGGAACTGAAGCCCTTAATTCTAAGGAATCCTAATACTGAATACCTCCTTCTCATTCCCAACCTCAATAAAAGAGACAGGCAGTAAAGGTGATGCCAGCATGGTGGGCCTGCCCCATACTGGGACAGGGTGCTGGCTGGCTGTATCCAGCTGGCATTTTCTGGCCCTTGAGTTAGGTGTGTGGGCCTGAGTCCCGGGCCACAGAAGCCCCATGGCTCCTGGCTCATGTGACAAAGGTACAGTCTGGGCCAGGTTGGGCAGAGGCGGGGTGCAAGGTTCTGGCTCTCCATTCTATTGAGTTTGTGTCCAGACTGTAGTAAAGTGGGAATGCTCTGGGGAGACACTGCCTTCTCTCTCCAGAGAAAAGACAGACATCGCCACTGCACTCTGTCCAGTTCCAAGGAGGAGGACCATGATGAAACCCTCAGCACAGAAGCACATGTTGTACATCAGAGTCAGTTAGCTCTCATTTTCTTACCATCTTTTGCAATTACATGAAGGGATTAGATGCAGTCACGCAGTAATGGTCCTGCATCATGTTGACCAAATAGCTCTTCCGCTTTTCCCCAAAATCACAGCTTACATTCACAGTTAATTTCTAAACCCCAGTTTTGGAGCTGCCTTATAAGCAAAAATGAAATAAGTAAAAAAAATCGAATATAAAAAATTAATTATGCAAAAACTAAAAGCTAGTTTGTCATTCTTTGGGAATTCTATTTCCTCATTGTTCTCTTAGGAGCTGTCTGCCTGTGACCCACAGGCAAGATTCTAGGGCGACTATTATTAGTTTAAGTCTCCAAGGGCTTGGCACAGGCTGCCCTGCAAGCTCTGCTGGTTCGATTCAGTTCTGTACTCCGATTTTCCTAGATCCCAAAGTTCTGCAAATGCCAGCAACCAAAGTAGGTATTTAAAAATATTTCATTTTATTTTACAGTTCAATTAAATTTTTTTTCAGAGATTTACAGGAGCATATTTGTGAAAACCCCTTGGGTTGTGCTGATGATGGCTATGTAAATTCCAGCCGTCTGCTCAGGGATGAGGGCCTGGGGACTGTGCTGAAATAAACCTGCTTGTGTTGAGATGGAGACAAGTGCTATTCCCCTACCCCTGGAAATTTACTTCAATGTCATTACATTGTCTTTAAAAAGATAAAAATAGCTTAGAAGACTTATGTAGCTTTTTAAATTTAGGGCAGGTTCTAATTTACTCAGTGTCTACTAAATTCCACTGTGTGCTGCAGTTTATAAAGCTAATGGAAATTTCCCATTTTAAAAATTGGAATGTCCTCTTTGGTTTTTAAATTGATAAATCACAAAATGGTTCAGACGGCAGTGACTTGGAGTCTTGGCTTTCTAACTTATATGCACTGGTACAAATGGGATGCAGAAAGAGAGTGAACTGCACTCCCCCTTATCTTACTGTATGGATGGGGTCTGTAATGCTTGGGGAAACAGAAACCCTGTGGCAGTGTTTTGGTGGGTAGGCGAGACATTTTCCTTCTGGGAGAGGTACATTTGTTTGCTAAGGCCCTGGCCTCAGGATGGAGGCTGTGTTTGATTTCCACTCTGTGACTAAGGCATAAGCCCTCTTGCACTGAGCAAACCTCCTCATTCCTCCCCAGTCCAATGGATTTCGGATGATTTCTGCTTTACAACTGCTAGCTAGAAGGATCAAAGGAAGTCCTTCTGATCAACCAGCTACATGGCAGCCATCAGGCTCTGAAGGATCATGGGGGGCAATCTATTGTCATGCATTTCCAATTGTTATTTTCACATGTTTATCACATTTCAGGAAAACCTGTCAATCCGTATTGCTTGCCAACAAACACTAGGTTTTACAAGGCATGGAAAAGGGTACTAACTACACATCTCGTTTCTTGTTTTGGGCCTGGCAGATCATCGCCAATCATCACATGCAATCCATCTCCTTCGCCTCCGGGGGAGACCCGGTAAGTCCCTTAGGTTCCTTTCTCTTGTTGGGGATTTCTGAGGTGGGGACCCAGCTTCAAAACCCCTAAGACATTATTCAAAGTTTACTGTGATATCAATTATTTCCTTTTGTTGATTTCAGGAGCTCTTCTTGACTGTCCTTTGGAAGGGGGACTGAGACAAAGACTTAGCATTAGTTTTCATTTCATTAGCCCAAAGCTGTCAGCAATTCCAAAAACACTGGCCTTCTTTAAAAAACCACCAGTTTTCAGAGTTGCTGGGGTCTTCTCACACAGTTGCTTTACACTTGCCCTGCGTGCTTTTTCTTTTTCCTATTGGATCTCCAAGCCCAGCCCCTGCTTGCTGTGGATGTCCAGCCCTGCAAAGAAGTTCCCAAGAAGCCACTGCAGTGGGGAACAGAGGGGGAGGCGGGGAAAACAAGGTCAGCCCTTCCCAGCAGTGAAGGCAGAAAGGCTCATCACTCACTTCCTCTCCTGCCCAAATGTTGTTATGCTTGTTTTTGCTGGTAAAGTCTCTGTCAGTCCAGGGAGAACATTTTAAAATTAAGAAGATAAAGTGAAAAATTGGAGCTAAATTTAGTCAATTGGAAAAGATCATTCTGTATTCTATTAGTCAGCTTTCCCATTGCTGACATCTACAACTTATAGGAGAGTTTTAATTGGCTCAGAGTCCAGCAGATTCAGTCCGTAGTTACCAACTCCAAGGCAGGAATATCATGGAAGGACAAAACAGAGCAAAGCTGCTCTGTGCAGATACAAATATCTTAATAGAGGGCAGACAAATACTTGACTTAGGTTGAAATTACTTTATTCTCCAGGATGCACACAGCACTATGAATTTGTAAAAATTTCTTCATAATATTTTCATTTAAAAATAGTAACATGTCGTGACAATCTGTAATCTGTTATGTTTCAATGACTTTTTTTCTGATAGAGAAAAGATCATGATCCAGAGCACAGCAGACCTCATTGTTTTCCTTTTTTTTTAAAAAAAAAAATATTTTAGGAAAAATTAAAACAAAATTTCATAAACAATATGAGAATAAAAACAGTTCTTACACTACATATTATTATCTTCAGAGTAGTTATTCAGAATGCAAGACATAAACCAAAAAGATTTTCACAAAAAAGAAACAGATAATAACACAAATCTTTCTTTTTAAGCAACTAAGGCAAACTAATAGTATAAATGAAACCAATGAGCATATATATTGAAATACTTTTAGAACAGGAATTTTTAATTTGGGGAAGTATTTGAACTTCTCCCTATTTCCTATTTACCTCTCTTCTATTTTTCTCTTTATTTGTGTTTTTCATATAATACAGTCCAAGTGCATATTAGACTGTGCATGGAATTCCTTTTTCAATTGATTTGGAACCAAGATTTTAACACAGTTGGTAGGTGTTCTCAATAAAACCAACATCCTAGATTCTGGGCCTTACTCATCTACTAGGTGTAACTGCCACTTACGTGGGCATTAATCTACCCTGCAGAAAAGTGGTGGATAGAAATGTCAAATAACACAGACTGGAAAACATTATTAATGTTCTCCAAAACAGGGCACATGCCAGCCACCATATGCTTTGAACAACAATGTTAATAGACCACCACAAGATGCAATATCAGGGATATCAGAAGTTTAAGACTAGCCTGGGCTTCTCAAGAACCTGTCTCAAAATAAAAAAACAGGCTAACTGGACATGTGGCTCAGTGAAAAGGCCCTGGTTTTGATCCCCAGTACCACAAAACATAAAAAAACAACAACAATAAAAAAACAACAGAAGACCAGTAACAGAATGTTCAAACAAGATCAAGCACAGAGGGTCTTGGGAAGTGAGAACAGAGTTAGAAGAAATAAGAGTCGGCATTTTCCAGCCCCCATTTTGAACTTGGTGCACTCTCTGTGTAGCTAGGCAATGCCAAGAGTAGTGTTTCAGTCCTGTGCACCCCTCCCGTGTCAGAGAGGCTCAGGAAGGACACAGGAACAGCATGTCTTGACCTGGCCATTGGCCTTCTCAGGGGTATCTCCTTGTCACTGGTCTTCTTTCCCCAACGTGAGCCACAGTGGAGTTTCTCAAACTGCAGTAAGATCTTTTAAAAAAATTCCTGTGTATACCAGTAGTGCTGACTCAAATTAATTTTATTACCTTAATGTGTACAAAATTAACAAGTTAACTTTCTGTTTATATTTTGTATTGGGCCCTCAAACCCCATCAAATTTAGATATTAAATGCAGAGAAACACCGTGAAACCAGTAACATTCAAAGTGGCACAAAATCACCATGGATGAAGTTGGCTAAGCCCGAATCCCTGCTGCCCCCCTGCCACTGGACTGGCTTCCAGGGCATGAACCCTCTTGAGTTCAGCATTTTGTGGGCACCTCAATAACTTAATTGCTCACTGATTTCTCCTATTCAAGAAAAACTTCAATTGTGCATCATTACGTGCAAAGCTCACAGCAACTTGCTTCAGATAGGGTAAAGGGATCTGAACTCTACCTGTTCTTTTTTTTCTAGTTTTTTTTTTTAAAATCTAGCACCTATAATGTAGGAAGCCCAGTCATGAATCTTGGCACTGAAACTGCATAAACCTAGTGACACTGTGGCCATCTAAATGATCCTGGGTATTGTCGTATTGTTTAAGATCACTGTGGAAAGGAAAGTGTGAAATAGAAAAACAAGTTCTGTTGACATCTCATATACTGGAGAATACACCTGTGTGTTCCTTGGCTCTCAGTTTGAGAAACTGGTGCTCTCTAGGATGCATATAGAGGCTTGCAGAGATCCTTCCAACCCACATCTTATGAAGCCAGGAAGAGTTTGTATTTCTTGCAGTAGCTTCAGATCCTCACCAGATCCATCTGGCTGGAAATGTCCAGAGTTCGGTTTGATGGTTTCACTGAACAGTTTGAGAAGATATTAGTGAACAGGAAAGGAAACTGCTTAGATGAGCCTCACCCTGGGGAATGGCTTGGGGTAACCATGCCATGATCTCACCCACACTGGAAGAGTTGCCCCACCATGCAAACCTGTGGTGTAGAAAGCAGCAGTAGCAACCCCCACCCTCCACTGGGTGCTCCACGAGAGCTGCACCCCTCACACCACTCTCCCTGCACACCTCTCTCCTCGCAGCACTTTCTAGAGCACTGTTGAGAGGTCAGGGACTGTGGCTGCTGCTCACAGCCATTAACGATGGAGGGTGCTGCTGACAGGGGAGCTTTCCAGTCACCCTGAATCCCCTGCATCCCCTTGATGCTCTGTGAGACAATAATATATTAGGAAGTAGCTGAGAAAATAGGGTAGTGTTACCAGTTACCCTTCTGAGATTGTTTTTGAATGTTGACAATGTTGACCTGGTAGAAAAGTCTTTCTGGCTGTCCAGGATGAAGAGAATGAGTGGCTTCTCTGATTGTTTAGAAAAAGTATGCACATGGCTGCCTTGGTATAGTCTTGTCATCTTATTTGCCACTATGCAGCAGACCAATGAAAAAGCAGACCACGAACTCTCAGATCCCCTGCACTAAGGACTGAACCCAGAGCCTTGGCACTGAGCTAAGTCCCTAGCCCTTTTTTATTTTTCTCTTTTGATATAGTGTCTCCCAAAGTCACCAAGTTGCTCAGGGCAAGCTTGAATTTGCAATCTTCCTACCTCAGACTCCCAAAGTGCTGGGATTATAGGCATGAACTACCTACAATCTTAAAGGATTAAAGTCATTGTTCATATCCAAGAAGAAGAGAACCATCTTACCTCATCCATGCATGAGGAAGGGTTTGCAGCCAACATTTGAACACCCACTTTGGTTTTCTTACAGACCAGTGGTTCTTGAAGAATTGTCCCCAAGCCCAGCAGCTATAACCTGTCAGAAACCCACTTTTGGGGTTGTAGTATAGACCTAATGGATAGGAAACTCTGGAGCATGGTCCAGAAATCTGTTATAATAAACCCTGGAGGAGATTTTGGCACTAGCTCCAATTTGTGGGCCCCTTGTATAGATATCGCAGGCAGCAGTGGTTCTCAAGTTTGGTTCACATTTGTATTATCTGGGAGTTTTTAAAAATCCCTGATATGCAAGGGTCACATCCAAACCAGTAAAATGAGGTTATCCAGGAAACAGGAGTCAGGCATCAGTGATTTCAGAGCTGCCTAGGAGATGCAACATGGGGGGAACCGCGAGGCTTTCATCCTTGCTGCTCTCGCTGTGGCCATGGGCTGGCACCATCAGCGCAGGGGGCTGGTTGGAAACGCAGAACCTTCCCTGGCCCAGGCATGCTGAGGCGGAATGTACACAAGGTCCCTGAGTGCCCATGTCACAGGTTGGGAAGCTGCGTAGTGGGCTTTGCTGCAGGCGGCATTTGACTGGTGGATACGTCCTTCTCAACTTGGGGTTTGTGCGTTGTACCCCTGTGGTATCACCTTGCACTGTGATGAGCGACACAGATGTCTCATTTTTCCTGAACAGGACACAACAGACTACGTTGCCTATGTAGCGAAGGACCCCGTTAATCGCAGAGGTAAGCAAAGCTTGACCCATATAATTGCTCATTGCTGTGTGGCCGGGTTTAACACTGTGGACCAGATGTTCCTTGTTATCTCAGCTCCCTGCGCCAAAATGAGCACGTGTCATATTATGAAGAATAATTAAGGTTTGCAAAGCATGCACATTGCCTAACATGGTAAGAGAGGCTGGATGTGACTGGTATCTAGCCCAGGCCCATACCCAGATGGCTACAGCTTGTTTCAGCTGACTTTCATGTTGCAGTTCCTACCCATGCCCTGAGTGGCCTCAGTTACACCTGGAAGACTGCACCTGCCTGTCTTCCTACCTGGCTTCAGCTCCTGCTGTGTGCCCATTGCCAACTGAACTACCTAGGCCACTCCTACTGCGTGGCTCAAGTCTAAATCCCAGCATCCAAGCCAGTGTGCTGACTTCGTGTACTCAGTTGAGCTTCTAAGTGGGCCTCAGACATGGACAGGGTGGGGTGGGGGCATTACAGAACCAGAGTCTGCTGGGTGATAGTGACCGTAGCTGCCACTGAACCCCATCGATGAAAAGCACCCATGGAATTTAGAGCACTTCCACTACCAGCTGCCTCCTCCACCCCTCCCTGTTCCCTCCCCATCAGCCAACTGCTGATTTTCCAGTTTGCTTGCATAATTTTAAAATCTACTCACACATATTTCCTCCTTTTTAAATTCAGTACAAATGAGATCTTAGCATTCTGTTTTGCTACCTTCCCCCAACAGTGTATCTTGGATGTATTTTCAAGACAACCCATACAGACAGATGAATTGATTCTTGATGTGGCTCTGCAGGGAGCTGCTCTCCGAGACTCCTGCAAACTCCTTCCTCATCCTTATAAGCTGTGTTTTGTGACTTGTCCTAAAGAATCATTTTCAAAGCCACTGGGTTGGACAGTGGAGGTGTCAGTGGCCCCTGCACTTTGTCCCCCAGCCTGGATATAAAATTTGCATTCGCTTGTAAGTGCATGAGGGTTATTTTCTTCCTAGGTCTTTACCAACCTTGGATGGTAACAGCTCAGGTAGAAAATCTGGCCCCAGGGATGCCTTGCTAACCTAATGCTGTAGCCTACCTCTTCTTGAGTGGGAGGCAGTTTTATGTAATGACTACATATAGCCAGTATTCACTGTGAGCATGGGCACAGACTGTAACCGTTATCAGACCAGCTGAACAAAAGCCCATTTGCCAATTTAGAGGCTGGCCTCATGTCCAAGTTGGCCTCTCTTCCATGCCGCTCCTGGCAGGGATGACTAGAAGGCAGCATCAGCAGGTCCTCTCCACTCCATGGAGTCCCAAGGCCGCTCCAGGAGCCCCCTCCATCTGCAGGATACTAGGACTTCCTGTTCAGCCACGCTGGCCTCCATGAGACTGAAAGTAGTAGCTTTCAGTGCCTTTGTTGTTAGGTTTCTAATATTTCTGTGACAAAATACCACAACAGAGAGTCCTGAAACAACAGAATGCATTGCCCTGCAGTTCTAGAAGCTGGAGGTCTCAGCAGGACCTTCAGACCCATAGGGAGTCTCTTTGTCTCTACCTGGCTTCTGGGAGTTGGTGGCGATCTTCAGCACTAGGTGGCCTACAGATGCATTTCTATTATCTTTCATCATGGCACAGTGCTCTTCCTGGGTCTCTGTGACTTCACATGGGCATCTTCTTATCAGAATGTTGGTCACACTGGGCCAGGGTCCACCCTACTCCACAATGACTTCCTCTTAACTATTTATCACCACAATCACCCTATTCCCAAATAAGGTTACATTCTGAGGTCTTAGGGGTTAACATTAAAACATATCTTTTTAAGGGGCATAGACAACCCCTATTAAAGGGCAACCCCTTTAACTGTTCTTGCAGCCCACCAAATCAGGGCAGGTGATAGGGAAGGAGAGGTGGCAAGTTATACTTCCCCAAGCACCAGCTTCCCAGTTTCAGCCTGGGCTTAGCAGCTTTTGAAGTTCTTTCTCTATTTTAGTTTGTTTCAAGTTAACTTCTCAGCCCCTCTCCCCCTTTTGGGAACCTTTAATTACCCCTAAGTCAGTGGTTCTCAAAATGAGCTACATTTGAAAGGCACCCAGGGAAGGTTTAAAAAATCTCCCTGCTCAGGCCTTGGAGAGTGAGTCTCAGATGATGATGCTTTTTGAACAGCTTTAGGGGTGATCCCATTGTAAAACCAATGCTTGAAAATAGGTCTTAAGCTTGTGTCTTGAAAGGGTTTGGCCACCAGGTATTGACTTGGGGTCACGTAAGGGTATAGCCTCTATTTCATTTCATAGGGCTGAACTCAAACTGAGGTTGGCTGGGTGTTGGGGTCTTTTCCATGTGCCCTGTGTTCCTGCACCCATCCCCTCTAAGATTTGCGTACAGTGCTATGTGTCAGACCCAGCAAGCAGGAAAGGTCTGCACTATTCTTGAGCCTTTGGGTCAATACCAGCCAGTACAGCAGCTCTGTGAAGGACTGCATGCTTGTATCCCCCTAAAATTCATGCTGAATCCAAACCCTCAGTGTGGTGGTGTTAGGAGGTGCAGCCTTTGGGAGGCGATTAGGCCATGAGAGGTAGGGGGAACCCATGAAGGAGCTTGGGGCCCCCTAGAAGAAGCTCAGAGAGCTTTCTTGTCCCCTGTCTACCACATGGGAATACAGCAAGGGGAGCCATCTACAGAGCAGGAAGACAGCCTTTGCAAGACAACAAGCCTTGGCCTTGGACTTCCAGCCTCCAAAACTGTGAGAAATAAATGTCTGTTGCTGAACTCACCCAGGCAGTGAATGCAATTGTTATGGCACGCTAAGCTGAGACAGGCTTTTATGTAGGGTACTGGGTGAGAGGTGTGCACTCTTTTACTTTTATTGCCTATAACAAACTACTCCACATTTAGTGTTCTACCAATGACTGTTATATTATTTATGATGGAATATGGGTCAGGAATTCAGAGCTCAGTGGCCAATTCATCTGCACATTTGCTTTTACTTGAGGTCACGGAGTAGTCTTTGGTTCGAGCCTGGGCTGGTTTCGGGGATCCAAGTTGGCTTCCCCTCTACACCTCTTACTTGGCAGGGATGACTAGAAAGCAGTGTCAGAAGGTCCTTCTCCACTCCGTGGAGTCCCAGGGCCTCTCCAGCGGACCCTTCCACCCATCAGAGCAGTAGAACTTCCTACATGGCAGCTCTGAGTGCCACGAGACCAAATTTGAATCCTCCAGTGCTCTGAAAGCCAGTTTATTGTTCAAAACCTTCCCAGCCAGCTCAGGTTCATGCAAGGGGAACCATGCCCAGGCTCGGAGGACAGCATCCAGGAATCTCAGCCATTGTTATCCATCATGTCTGTTTTCCACAGTGGAGAGGCCCAGGCTCTGAAAGGCAGTGCGGGGGGAGGGGAGTCGAGCTGCAGCCCCACAGCAGCCTTGATTGACATCACTGTAGAGCAGCTGCCGCCATCCCACACATGTCCATCAGCCTGTCTCCCAAGAGGGAGCCTGTGGACAGGATTCTGCAGTTGCTTCTCCCCTTCCTCCTCCACTTGGTCGAGATGAGGAGGGTACTTCGTATGCATAGCCTTTGCCGTTGGGCAGGCAATCAGTGAGACGTTCTGGGTGCGCAGGTTCTCGTTTGTGCTGTTCAGTCTCTCGGCCCTCATGCAGAGGCCCATGGGTCCAGGGCTCTAGCAGGTGGGGGGCACTGCGGTTCCTCCGCTGTGAGCCCAGCTCCTCCAGATGATCAGAGTTGGAACCTGTCCCATTCCAGAAAGCCCTCTGCCCACATCTTACCCCGGTAGGTCATATTGCTCGTGGTTGTTACTGGTGTCTTTCCATCTGGATTCCTGCTTACACACATTTGCACATGGCTGCATTTCATCTAGAAGAATCTCTAAGGGGAATCTACACCTGTCTGGTACCAAAAGTCCAAGCTTCTGTGGTTGACCCAGTGGGAAGGGAGAATGTCTTTCACCCTACTCATTAAGTCCTGGGAAGCCCTCACCTGCATCTCAAGGAGGCGAGGGTCGCATGCGCAGAGGGTTTCAGGAGGTCGATGAGTTGGAGTTGTAAGCAGAACCAACAGGATGCCCGGTACTTGCAGAGATGAAACTCCTTACACAGGAGGCTTTGCTAAGTACTAATACACCATTTTTTTTTAGATTAAATTAAATTTTAAAAAGTTTTATTTAATTGTAATTGACACAACTGTGTATGTTTGTGGGGCATGATACAATGTTTCTGACACATGTTTACAATGTATAATGATCAAATTAGGGTAATTAACATTTCTGCCCTTCAAACACTTATCATTTCTTTGTAATGAGGCTGTCTGAAATTCTCTTACAATTTTTTGAAATATATAATCATTATTGACTCTAGTCATCCTAGTTTGCAATAGAATGCATAACTTATTCCCCCTAACTAATTCAGTGCCTGTTGATCAATCTCTTATCACTCCCCAACTCAATTTGTCCCTGGCCTATGGTAGCCACCATTGTACTCTCTATGAAATTAACTTTTTCTGATTTCACAAATGAGTGAGAATATGCAGTATTTGTTTTTCTGTGCCTGGTTTATTTTACTTAACACTGTGCCCACCAGGTTCATCCTTGTTGCCACAAATGACAAGATTTTGGTTTTTTTTTTTTTATGGCTACACAGTATTCTATTGTTTGTATAAATACCACATTTTGTTTCTCCATTCACCTGCTGGTGGGCAGTTAGGTTGATTCCATTTCTTGGCTATGGTGAATGGTGCTGTGATAAGCATGCAAGTGCAGACATCCCCTAAACATACTGATTACAGTTTCTTTGGATAAATATCACTTGAGAATTCTCTCCACTCCCCAGTGACTCCTATGCCCTGCAAGCTTACATATGTATGAGAAGTTCTGAGTGGTCTTTTTAGGTGACAAAAAAACTACAAAATGGGGCTCAAATCATACAGATGTCATGGGATTTATGTATCTTGTGGTCAGAATGGCACCTTAGGCAGGTGTTCTCCGGTACACCCTGGACTGAAGC